CTATCGACCTCTTCCTCACTTATTCCCAAAGATATTCGAACAGGTTTAGGTCAGAATTCTTTCGTTGCCCTGAATTGATTGATATTTCTTTCTGTGGGGATATTTCTTTCTCTGTCACATCGTGCCCTATCTTGTTCAAAGATAAAGTCTCATCCGCAAAGCTCTCTCCACCTTTTAGAAAGTCCCAAGATCGTAAATTTTCGACTCGATACGGAAAATGGTATGTTTGGCTTGTATCTAGAACTTTCCTAATAGATGAGATGGCTTTGTGGTGGAGATGATATCTTCCAGTAAGATAGAGGCACCATGTCATTCAAAAAAGAGCCTGAAAGAAAGTGATATTGACCAGCCCAGGGCTATAAGAGATTGCTGACGTAGACCTCAATGAAAATTTTTGGGAATAAGTGAGGAAGAGGTCAGATAGAAACCCATCTCGACATCTGGAAGAATGAAAGAGACCATTTTCGCATCACGTGAGGTTGTTGATCCAGATGTAACAAACAAGCTTGTTAGGTCAATGACTGGGCATTGTGCCGCAATAATGGTCTCTCATGGTGGCTGTACCAAGTGGAAGACCACTACAAGTCTTTCTACCTAGCATGTCTTGCAATACCATGAATTTTACTAACAAGTGACAATTTGACTGGGGGCCTAAAACTTTTGCACAGTACTGTATGTCAGTGAAAAGCTTGCACTTATGGACTTTTTTAAAGAACTGAGATCAGCCAAAGGCAAGCTAATTCGCAAGTATAAAGCTTTGGATGAATGGGAGAAATTACAATGTGATTTGCAAATGGCAAACCTGCATGTTGTAATTATTAAAAAAGTGTGTTTCTGGAGAAAATTAATTATTGAAAGAAGAATGCGTAGGATTCCAAGGATTTGCTCGCCGTACGGTATAGATATCACACTAAGAATGAGCGAAGAGATATTTTGCTCAGTAAAAGACTTTCTCACTTGTGTGACAAACTATGGTTTGGATATACAGCTGACAAAGAGTTTTATCGAGATCAAAGTTTGGAGCAAGAGGCGACTCGAACTGTTTTTCAAGGACATAATTAACCAAAAACTCCCCAAAAAGGAAATTAAAAAATGCAGTGTTAAACTTATAGTATCCAAAGCTAAGATGTTTGTATTAAGGTACAGGAAAACAATTGAGACACAAAATCTTACGTGCTTTTATGGTGTGTGGAACGAGTATCTTGTTCCACAGCATTTGTAGATAAACTACATAATTATATTCTCCTTTGTTGAGTTGTTGTAATGGTGGCAGCGAAAGGTTCAACGAAGTAAGAGGACCTGGTGAAATGGATTTCACTAGCCCACAGAATCTCTCGGAGACATGGAGACGTTGGAGACGTGGCATCGAATATTATTTAAAAGCAACTTGCACTGGCAAAACCGAAGCACAAAAAATCGCTATTTTTATGTGTATGATCGGTAAAGACGGACAAGAAATCAAAGACACTTTAGAGCTCGAAACCGATGAAGATGGGCAAAGCAGTGATCACCACAGCAATCCTCTTCGAAAAGTTTGAGGCGCATTGTAAGCCCAAGAAGAATCTCGTCGTCGAGCGACACAGATTTCCCACAAGAGACCAAACCCCTTGCGAGTCCATAGATCAATACGTGACTGAATTTAGAACATTAGCTGCTTCGTTCGAGTGGGGAGATTTGAAAGACGTCCTTATATGTAGCCCAATCGTCAGTGGCATATTATCAAGAGCTTTTCGAGAGCGGCTATTGCGAAATCAGATTTGAAATTAAACAAAGCTGTTGAAATTTGTAGAGCTGATGAATTATCAAGACAACAGATAAAGTTGTTTAGCAGCGAAACAAATCATGTGAATGACGTGGTGGAGCGAATCGAGCAAAAACAAAGGCAAGCTTTATCATATCAGCCAGCTATATTTTAGCCATTAAAGGAGAACCACAATACCTACATTCAGATTTTTCTTGACTTTTTGGAAGACCACAGAAACAGAAGATGTCAAAGTCACAAAGAGAGACTGAGAGTGATATGGAACACAAAACCCCACCGTCCACATACTAAGAGTGATTTTTTTGAAAAGGGCATTGCAAATGAAATATTGAGAGCAGTAATTCTGTAAATCAGCAATACCTTCTTGGTCAACATCAGTGATCCTATTCATTAAAAAAGTAGCATTTCTTAGTCTTAATCAAGCATAAGCAAGAGCAAACAATGGCAAATTTTTGTCATCATTCTGTATCAGAAGCCATAGCAATTGCGTCAACAACATGCATAAAGTTATTACAAAATTTACGTGTCTCTTCACCGATGAAGCGACACTGAAAATCAGTATCTCTATTTTCATGAAACCACCGGATGATTTTCTTGTATAGCTTACGAGACTTCACTTTGCTCCTAACTGCACGAAGATATCGCTTTCAAGAAACAACATTCAAAAGGCAAACAATAAATATTTACAACACCAGCACTGATATTAGATTGGGACAATACAATCATTATAACCACTTTATTCCACTGCTGCCAACAATAATTATTGCCAAGGTGAAGAGGCTCACATACAGCCTAGTCAATAACAGGGCCCAAAACAGGTTCAAACTCCTGTCTTGAGCACTTGCTGGCAATAAATTTGGTGACAAGCGTTCTCTGCTGTTTTACAGGCCTTTTCACAACAGTTTTGTTCTTGTATTTGGCAACTAGTTTAGCAACCTGGCATCTTTGGTCATAGGACCATGGATGATCTTCTTTACAGTCAGCACCAAGTGTAAGAAAATTCTCATAACAACTAGTTATTCTGTTTCCTACATTAAAAAAACTGATTAGCCAGGCAGTTACCTCATTTTCGTTCCTAAGTGGTGCCCCGTCCGCACCAAGAGCAACCAAGAAAGACCCTGGGGGGTTTCCAAAACAAGTAAGAATAGAAGTTTCTTTGTTCATGTCTAGGTACATGCGTGCCACCTGCAACAACCGATACTCAAGACCAATAAAGCAACCAGAGATTGTACTACCTGATGTTGCATTGTCAGTGACATGAAGACTGCAGTCTTCATCCGCCTCAGACTGTACCTCAGGGATTGGCTTTAATTCCCCACTGTCTATTGAGTTATTAAACTTTATTAAATCTTTATACCCTACTAGTTTCTGTATCAATAATTATAGCATTTCCCAATTTTGCCCTAACCTTTCTTTTAGACTTATTCTTTTTGGATTCGCGTACATGAATGAACTTCTGATACTAATGTACAATGTTTTGCTAATAAGTCCTCCTCTATTCACGGTCATAACAGAGTGAATCATATTATCATGGCATTTTTGAAATTCTTGTACTGAATGATTAACAGCGTATGGCATGACTTTCTTAGTCAAGGTTTGGGAATGTTTGGACATGTTTACCAATTCTTGTTGTGTCCCACTTGTAACAAGGGTATGGAAAAGGCCTTTCAAAGCAGCTTTCTTTTTCTTCTGTGGTGACAACTGTGGATTGCTGTCGATTTCAATAGCCATTTCCATTGTTTGTTTCCTTCTTTTTCTAGAAGAACTTGGAGGAAGGTCCAAATTAAATATCATTGTTACCTTCTTTGAGCAAGGTTGTTTTTCTGTTCTTTGCACTTCGGGGCAAGTGGACTTTTGTATTTTGAAGCACACCTTGCTAATAAAACTTAAAAAATGCACTAAATCACATTTTATGGTAGTCTGTGCAACTGCAAGTGTTTTTGGCTTTCCTTTGATTTTCTATGTTTCTAGTTTATGAAGTACAGCCGCACAGAAAGCTTTTTTATGAGTAAATTTAAATATTATGGTTAAAGCTTCTTCAAAATTAAAAAATAGAAATCATCAGGAGTACATATATGATATAAACTAACAAGACTTGGTAACATCACAAGGAAATTTAATTCCATTTTGTTTTGGGGTAATGAATACATTATGAAAGAATAGTAGTTTAACTTCCACATGAGAAGTATACATATAGAATAGATATTTCTGTGGTATCCAGGTGCATGCTTCTTATTAAAATATTCAGTTGTCAACTGTGAGACTGGCATATACTGGGTCTTGCATGATTATCCTTAAGGGGGTCAAGAATCCATTTAAATTATATATATAGCAAGCACTCTCTATACTAAATGACTAAAATAGCCTGGTGTAAAACATATTACAGAGTGAATTAATAATAAAATACGTTGCACTGGGATAAAGCTTACAATGCTACAGTGTAATGAATCGTCAAATTAATTTTCTCAAAATATTACATTTATTAAACGGCCTTTTTCTTCAAAAACTTTAATATATAAATATCGTATATATTATATAGGGTTAGCTATCTCGTTATTAAACTATTTCTTCGCATTTGTTATCAAAATTGTTGCTGTCAAGTGTCAACGCGCCACTTTACCTTCAGTTTTGCTGCAGTGATTTCCCTATCTAGCTGTTCACATTTGTCATTGAGGTTAATTAGCTCGTTTGATTTATTTAGAGCAAATTTAGTCGCTTATTTAATCGAAGCAACCAATTATCCGAATACTAAACCGAGCTATAGACGAAAGAAACAATGCTATCGTTTTAAATTTTTGGCAAATAAAATGGATGGCTAGAAAATTTGAATAATATATTTACATACCAGGCGAAAAATAACAAAAATATGCACAATATTGTACTCACCAATCATCAACAAAAAAGGCTGATTTCCAGACCAAGTCCTAACATTTAAGGTATTGATGGGAAGCAAATTATCTTGTGAAGACGATGGCTGAAGATGAAACAACCATTTCGGGCTGCCAAAGCACAAAAAAAGCTCGAATTTGTCACCCGCCCTTTTTTTTTTCTCCTTGCGAGGGGTCGCCTGGCTCGATCTATTTTTCGATGACGTAATTTCCAATTTGAGCATATTTGGGGGGAGAAATCCCCGGCCAACATCATATCTGACGATCATTTTCTATTCTTCTTCTTCTTCGTCATAACTGCGAAAAATATCTTCCAGAATTACCGAGTCAGAGAAGAGACGATTTAAACGATGTTTGTAGTGGCCAGCTTAAGCTTGTGGTTGCTTGCTATTGGAAACATTTCTGCAGACCAATGTTCCCCGACGAATTACGTCACCATCATAAGAGGTAAGTATTGTCGAAACAAGTACGATCGTACTATAGCGGACCAGGAACTGCGTGAAGGAGTTTCTGAACTGCATTGTATTTACAACAATAGAGAGGACAATGTATTTCTAATCGTTTGCGTTTACTTATATACAGGGTGAGTAAAAAAAACCTGACACCTTTGAAATTTAAATTAACTGCGAACTTATGGCTGGAATTTCACAATTCCCATTGTGTATAATCAACAAGACGTGGTTAATTAATGCGAAAGTGTTTAAACCAATTGAACTAATTCCACGTTTTTTTTTTTATTACAGAGCTTAGAATGCATTTTAACTCCCAAAGGGAACAAACTTTATGTTCAAGGTTAATTAATGGGTTCACTTGTTTGATATGCTTCGTATACCCATAAGATATTTTAAGTAACGTCTGTCTCATTACAGCCTATTATAGACACATTGCAGCTAATTTGAATTTCAAAGGTGTCAGTTTTTTTTTACTCACCCTGTATAGGCTGAATAATAATGATATGTATATACTATTTGCTGCAAATATAGTCAAGAATTGCTTGTAACTTGCTTCAAAGGTCAAAAGTAAAAATTCGAACTCCGTCAATCGATGCGGAATATTGCTTAGAATAATTGTGCCAAGTTTCATTCCGATCAAACAAGTAATGGTAGAGCCTTAGGGTTTTTTTAAAGAGCGTCGCCCCCTAACAACAACAACAACAAAACACAACAATAACAACAACAACAAGATTAGCAGCGGTTAGGGACCAGTTCCTGGTCCAAAAAGTAAGAGAAAAAATATTGTCGAAAAACATCATTTAAATGTTTCATATGATGATGAAGTCAATCCCGAATAAAACGCATAATTTAGTTGAAATTTGGACATTAATTTGACTTTCAAGAATTTTCTTGAAATTTTTAGCAGGTCCATCATTGCCTGCAGATGAAATAATATCAAGACACAATGTTACATCTTCAATTGTGATGTTAGGATGTCACACTCACTGCAAAGACGAAAAAAAATGTATTGGATTCAACTACAGAACAAAAAAAAATGTTGAAAATTGCCAACTGACAAACGTTACTAGAAAGAAAGAAGAAGCGAAGACGGGAGATTGGATATTGATGCAAGATGTTGAAGCGGTAAGATTGATAGATGACAAAGTCAGTGATATTTCAAACATGCTTGTTTATAGCGATGCTAAACATGGCGAAAAATAAACGATAGAAATAACAAATTGTCTTTGGTCCTCCGTGGATTTGACACGAAGCAATTAGGGCTCTTTCTGCCAGTTTCTGTATTTATAAAAAGGTGTTGCTCACAATTTGTTTACGATTTTGTTTAAAGAACTTAAAAAACATGTTCCTTTTTTAACTTTTAATTATATAAACCAACATTAAACATACTGTGGTTTCGGCAGCATTTTTTCGCGAACCAGAATTAGATTAGATTGTCTGCATCAAGCATCGCAAGCTAGTACATGTCGAAGTACGAATTTTAGAAAACCGCATATTTGTAAGGAAGTTATCAACTTTCAATTCTGATTTCACGAAAAAAAACTTGTTATAATTAAACTGTAAGAAAATATTTTTTCTATATCTGCGATCTTTGGACCACTAATAAGAAATATACGTCATCTCACGTTTCTTTTGTCTATACCTGCAAAAATGAACACAAAAAGAATAAAGAAATTATAAATATACAGTCGTAAATTTCATAATACCGTTGTATTAGTGTAAATAATGTCGTGCTATATTGATTGATCATGTGTAAGGGTTAATATCAATTTTTTAATTAACTTCAGTATTGCTGTAATCAATTTTGTATAGGCAAAGAACGGAGTTAAAAAAGAAAAGGTTTCCAGGAAATCAAGTAATTTGCTTTAGAATTATCACAAATAACATAATTTGAACATTCCGAGAATCATTCGGGGCAAAACTACGAGAATTTTAATATTTACTAAATAAATTTATAAACTATTTTGCAATGAGAATTTTTTTAAATATGCTACAGATTTATGCAATACGTACGAATGAACCTCAGGGTAACCTTTAATGAATTTTTTTGGGTGGGGACCGTATCCTAGCCCTAATCCTTACCAAAAACGCTAGCGAAGTAGAAATGTTGATCGAGCCCGAAGGAGCTTCTAGTAGCCTGATGTCAAAATAATATAAAAATGTTTTCATGCATGCTTGAGAGATGATATTAGTGAAAATTACATTGTCTTAAATTCGTGTGGAATTCGTGAAAAACTCAAATTAAAAACAGCATGAGTTGAAGAAAAGGTGTCAAATATCCGTACTCCGGAAGGAATGAAACCTACGCCTTTGAGACGCCAGTGCAATGCTTCCGCATGAGGTACGGAGATAACTCACCAGAACGAGCGTTGTTCGGTAAATTTAGCATGGTAATCCCTGGGGACAGTAAGACTCTGGGCCTTAATTTAGATTGGAAATGATACAAACGTAGGCTTCTGAAAAAGATCGTTTATTTTAGACGTTGACGAGTGTTCCCTGGGAACTCACAAATGTCACTCAAACGCCACCTGCAATAACACAATTAGCTCCTACGAATGTCACTGTCGGGGAGGATTTTTAGGAAATGGGAAGACATGTTCAGGCAAGATTAATTATTTTACATTGTTCGTACTAACATGTTATACTTGTACAAGCCATATATTTTATAGGCGTTATTATAGTTTATGAACTCTTGTTGATTTCAGACGTTGACGAGTGTTCCCTGGGAACTCACAAATGTCACTCAAACGCAACCTGCAATAACACAATTGGCTCCTACGAATGTCACTGTCGCAGAGGATTTTTAGGAAATGGTGAAACATGTTCAGGCAAGATTAATTATTATTTTGCATTTTATTAAAGCCCCACACAGCGGGCAAGTTTTCCTTGACAAGTTTTCTTGAGCAGTTAATTCACTTGCTTGTGTGTATGACGAACAATTTTTCGCTGACAAGTTTTCCTTGTTGAGTTTTATTTGCTCGTGTGTACGCGAAAAAATTGACAAATTCTTCTTGACAAGTTTTACGATATTAACAGTGTATGTTAACGATAATATGAGCCATGATAAAATGGAATATCAAAACAAGCAGAAGCGATAAAACTTGAAAAATCCGCTGGATTGCCTCGAAGAATGTTGCACTTTTCCGTAGAGCTTATTTCCTGGTCATGTTTTTCCTGACAGTCGTTCACAAGAGAGTTTTTCCTTCTTGAAAAGCTGGCATGACTAGCTTATAAACAAGGTTCCTTGCCGAGGAAAACTTGTACATTTTTTCGCGTGCACAAGAGCAAATAAAACTTGTCAAGAAAAAACTTGTCAAGGAAAACGTGGACGTCTTTACGGGTATAACATGTTATATTTATCAGCCATATATTTCATAGGAGTCAGATTCATTTTTAATGCAAGAATTACATTCATGTTATAATTATAGTTTATGAACTCTTTATCCGTTATTTCAGACGTTGACGAATGTTCCCTGGGAACATACAAATGTCACTCAAACGCAACCTGCAATAACACTATTGGCTCCTACGAATGTCACTGTCGCGGAGGATTTTTAGGAAATGGGAAGACATGTTCAGGCAAGATTAATTATTTACATTATATGTACTAACATTTTATACTTGTATAAGCCATATATTTTTTAGAAGTTATTATAGTTTATGAACTCCTTATCGTTGATTTCAGACGTTGACGAGTGTTCCCTGGGAACTCACAAATGTCACTCAAACGCAACCTGCAATAACACAATTGGCTCCTACGAATGTCATTGTCGCAGAGGGTTTTTAGGAAATGGTGAAACATGTTCAGGCAAGATTAATTTTTATTTTGCATTTTATTTAAGCCCCGCACAGCGGGCAAGTTTTCCTTGACAAGTTTTCTTGAGCAGTTAATTCACTTGCTTGTGTGTATGACGAACAATTTTTCGCTGACAAGTTTTCCTTGTTGAGTTTTATTTGCTCGTGTGTACGCGAAAAAATTGACAAATTCTTCTTGACAAGTTTTACGATATTAACAGTGTATGTTAACGATAATATGAGCCATGATAAAATGGAATATCAAAACAAGCAGAAGCGATAAAACTTGAAAAATCCGCTGGATTGCCTCGAAGAATGTTGCACTTTTCCGTAGAGCTTATTTCCTGGTCATGTTTTTCCTGACCGTCGTTCACAAGAGAGTTTTTCCTTCTTGAAAAGCTGGCATGACTAGCTTTTAAACAAGGTTCCTTGCCGAGGAAAACTTGTCATTTTTTTTCGCGTACACAAGAGCAAATAAAACTTGTCAAGAAAAAACTTGTCAAGGAAAACGTGCACGTCTTTACGGGCTTAACATTTTATAGTTTTATCAGCCATATATTTCATAGGAGTCAGATTCATTTTTAATGCAAGAATTACATTCATGTTATAATTATAGTTTATGAACTCTTTATCCGTTATTTCAGACGTTGACGAATGTTCCCTGGGAACATACAAATGTCACTCAAACGCAACCTGCAATAACACTATTGGCTCCTACGAATGTCACTGTCGCGGAGGATTTTTAGGAAATGGGAAGACATGTTCAGGCAAGATTAATTATTTTACATTATATGTACTAACATATTATACTTGTATAAGCCATATATTTTATAGGCGTTATTATAGTTTATGAACTCCTTATCGTTGATTTCAGACGTTGACGAGTGTTCCCTGGGAACTCACAAATGTCACTCAAACGCAACCTGCAATAACACAATTGGCTCCTACGAATGTCACTGTCGCAGAGGATTTTTAGGAAATGGTGAAACATGTTCAGGCAAGATTAATTATTATTTTGCATTTTATTAAAACACCGCACAGCGCCGGGCAAGTTTTCCTTGACAAGTTTTCTTGAGCAGTTAATTCACTTGCTTGTGTGTATGACGAACATATTTTCGCTGACAAGTTTTCCTTGTTGAGTTTTATTTGCTCGTGTGTACGCGAAAAAATTGACAAATTCTTCTTGACAAGTTTTACGATATTAACAGTGTATGTTAACGATAATATGAGCCATGATAAAATGGAATATCAAAACAAGCAGAAGCGATAAAACTTGAAAAATCCGCTGGATTGCCTCGAAGAATGTTGCACTTTTCCGTAGAGCTTATTTCCTGGTCATGTTTTTCCTGACCGTCGTTCACAAGAGAGTTTTTCCTTCTTGAAAAGCTGGCATGACTAGCTTATAAACAAGGTTCCTTGCCGAGGAAAACTTGTACATTTTTTCGCGTGCACAAGAGCAAATAAAACTTGTCAAGAAAAAACTTGTCAAGGAAAACGTGGACGTCTTTACGGGTATAACATGTTATAGTTTTATCAGCCATATATTTCATAGGAGTCAAATTCATTTTTAATGCAAGAATTACATTCATGTTATAATTATAGTTTATGAACTCTTTATCCGTTATTTCAGACGTTGACGAATGTTCCCTGCGAACATACAAATGTCACTCAAACGCAACCTGCAATAACACTATTGGCTCCTACGAATGTCACTGTCGCGGAGGATTTTTAGGAAATGGGAAGACATGTTCAGGCAAGATTAATTATTTACATTATATGTACTAACATTTTATACTTGTATAAGCCATATATTTTATAGAAGTTATTATAGTTTATGAACTCCTTATCGTTGATTTCAGACGTTGACGAGTGTTCCCTGGGAACTCACAAATGTCACTCAAACGCAACCTGCAATAACACAATTGGCTCCTACGAATGTCATTGTCGCAGAGGGTTTTTAGGAAATGGTGAAACATGTTCAGGCAAGATTAATTATTATTTTGCATTTTATTAAAACACCGCACAGCGCTGGGCAAGTTTTCCTTGACAAGTTTTCTTGACCAATTCACTTGCTTTTGTGTATGACGAACAATTTTTCGCTGACAAGTTTTCCTTGTTGAGTTTTATTTGCTTGTTGAGTTTTATTTATTTATTTTTTCAATAAATAACGTGGACGACAACCTCTAGCATACCCATGTGAGGCCAAAAATTTATAGCAAATACAATGCACAGATGGAGTCGCTTTGAATTTTTAAAGTGGGTTCACGGTCTTTAATATAAGGCATTACATTTTCATAAATATGGCAATCGAGTCAGTTTGGCTTTGATCAAACATAGCTTGTATCAAGCACAAGTGACCTGAGGCGAAAAGTTGGGGTCCCGGTAAGCCTGTGTTTAAGAGCAAGAAATTGGAGCAGCAATGCATGCGTCGTGAATACACTTAAATGTGATCTGTGCGGTGCAGATTATTATCGGCTACACAGCACGATATCTCCATCAACGCATTTCCTATCGCAAATAATCAAGGGTTGGTAGGCACCTTTATGACGCTCATATACGAGTGCATGTGGACATGCTTAATACAAGCAAGTTTAAACTAAGTCTTAAGAAAATGCCAGAACAAATTCTATTGCCTTTATAATATGAAATGCTTTACATCAAAGCACGTCAACCCATTTTAAATATTCAAAGTTATACTCCATCCGTGTAAATTTACACTTTACAGTTTAAACTTTTTGTATTGGATTGTCGAGGATTTTATTCCAAGCGACCACACTAGCTAGACTAGCTAAGCATAGTAATTAGACTCCAATAATATATATCTCTTATTGTCGTCTTCAATGCCGCCTTTTTAACTTTTTAACATGCATATCAGCAAACACATCTTATTGCAGAACTTTATAGTCAAATGTTTAAAGAAATCTTTATTTTTTTAGTATTTTTGTGTCCATATTATCGCATTATTAATTTTACATCGTTACTTCGTAAGCGAAAGTCGCCTATCTTCAATAGGGATGATATACAGTCGTCGATGACCCACGTTTTTTTTCCGGCTGCCCATAATTATATGGTATTCAGTTAGGAAATTCAACATTTTTCTTTTAGTTTCATGCATAGACCCGAGGCCATTGGGAATGCAAAGCGGCAAAATACCCAATTCGACAATCACAGCATCATCAACATTTGGTACTCATTATTATAACCCTCACTTCGCGAGATTGAATACGACAGGCAAATCTTGTAGTTGGGCACCAACAGCAGAAGGAAGAGTTGGCTCGTGGTTACAAGTTGATCTTGGAAAAAAAACAGCTGTCACAGGATTTTCAACTCAAGGAACATGTTATTGGGGGGAAGAGTGGGCGATCTCTTACTCGATTGCATACAGCGACAATGGTACTAATTGGACTGATTATGAAGAGTCAGGGACGGTGAAGGTAATCAAATAAACAAAACATATTTACAATTTGCTCAGGCTTCTTACGTGCTTTTCCACGAAATTGAAAATAGATTTAAAAGGAACAAAAAAAAATTGGGTCTATTTGTTTCAAAGGGTCTATTTGTTTTTGTGTTAACGTGCAATTACAATAGAGTGCATGCACGTGAGGTTGAGATATGGCAGCATTGAGGGCATGACTTTTGTATTTTATAACCGTAAAGCGAATATTTCGGAACGGACGTAAGTGCTAAACATTTTGCACATGGTTGTCCCAACCAGGCGGACAAATGCAGTCCTAGTTACATGGAAAAGTGTTACATATAATTAATTATTAATCGAAGTATATAAATTTTAAAAAAACTAATCCTTTTGGTTTTTTGCAGGTTTTTCAAGGCAACCAAGATCGAAACTCCAATGTTACCAACACCTTCATAACTGAAATCAAAGCTCGATACGTTCGTGTGTTGCCGAAATCATGGAGCAACTATCCCATAATGAGACTCGAGTTGTACGGTTGTTACTGAGCAGTACTTTCAGCAGTTGCAGGAAACGTGCTGTTAATTTTTGAATAATTGGAGTAAATTTACCAATAGTTGAATGTTTTGTGGCTGTGTGATTACAGAATGGTTAAGCTTAATTTCGTAGATCAATGTTATAATCATGCAATAAATGAAATCGAAAAACATAAAATTGGCATTTATTGTTTCGTCAAAATTCTACTAGCTACTCACTAACCTCAGTTTATAACTTAGGAAATACGGGTGTGCAAATATTTTCCGGGGGTTGGAGCAAATTCTAATTATTGGTCTCAATTCTCCTGAAAAATACGAAAATGAAGCTTGTTCGTAATTTTTAGGTAACTTTTGTTCCATGCACTCTAGTATTTGGATAGAAACTATACTATCATTTATCAACTGATGTATATTAACATCCCTCACAACGACTTGCGGTTTAAACTAATTTCTTACTTCGACGATAAAAAGGAATTTTCTGAAACAGCTTAGTAAAATGAGTAAAACTGCCAAGTTTGTCTGCGAAGTGCATGTGGTAAATTACCGATAATATAGCTACGCGAAGTTGACGAATTTTGAATACTTTTGTGTTACGGCCAGAAGTGTGTAAGTAATTTAGGGCCTCCACAGACTAGGGATTTAGTTGTCGACAACTATTTGTGTTCGAAAACCAAAAGTTATCGACACCTAAAAAACGTAGTCTATCGCGCATGTTGTCGGCAACTAAACTCTAAATATTTAGTTTTCGACAACTAAGCAGTTTCCCTTTTCGAAAAGCGAAACTGCATAGTTGTCGACAACTAATAGTTGTCAACGGCCTTATTTTTTGGCGATTTTCTAGTGTGTTAAAACTTTTGTTTTAGTTGTCGACTATACTTTTACTCAGGACTTATTTATAGTTGTAGATAGTTTTTAGTTGTGGATCACAAATAGTTGTCGACAACTAAACCCTAGTCAGTGGAGGCCTTTAGTTACGCATTTCCGGACGTAATAAAAAGTAGCTAACCTCAGTTAATTGCACTGGTTAACGGACCGAAAGCTTTGCAGTATTAAATACTTAGGTGGTGTACCTAGAAACCAATTTACTTATTAAGATATACATAATTATATACAACTGAGCGATCACCAAAATATTAACAAGACGCCTATCTAGGCGTAAGCTTGCGATGCTGCCCCCTGAAAGTTTGGCTGCACACACACTACTCGGACTACTTCCCTATTACTAGAGATGCTTGCGGAGGAGGCTAGACACTACTGGCATTCACTGGGCAATTACATGGATTGCTGTATAAATTCTGCACTTGGCAATTCTTTTTCAATTATATACTAATTAAAACAAGAATAGGAGTGTTTTATACAGTAATGAATGATAGTAGCGTGATGTTTTGAAGCAAACTACGAAAGTTTCCGAATATAGCGGACGACTGCCAAGCGTGCATACTATAATTGCCTAGCTGCATACTGGTAATTAATTTGGTAATTATGCGCCGGCCGCGCGGAGGTCTACTACCTAGAACCCGATTAAAAAAAATAATAATACCGAATTAAAAGCTTGCTATGCTACGCATCGCAAGCAATAAACCTAATTCAGGAAATACAAAATGATCTCGTAATATTTACAAATTTAAACTACTATTATATCTATTAATTGCATAATGTACTCCGCAAACTCAACTACGTTATCAACATTATTTTGACCATTTCCCACAGGACTGCCAAATGAATGTGTCGAGACATCTGCTACCTCTCATACGCTACCTATCATCCATAAATATGATCATATCTTTATCTGAACGTAAGTTTGAGCCATCATTTTGCAAAAACTCTAGGAAGGTTATTAATCTTTATAATAAATGCTATAGGACCAAGTTTACTTCCTTGCCGGATTTCACGTCATATTCTGTTTACTTCAGACTGCTGATTTTCAAACGTGCACATTAAATTTTGTGATCTTCCCTGTAAGTGTGAAGTAAACCACTTTAACTATGCAGTGTTGACGCCAATATCTTTAAAATTGTTTAGTAGTTTGCTGTGATTAATTAGGACATAAGCCTTACGGAGGACCAGGAAGAAGATTCTCACAACCTTTCCTGTATTTTCGACAATCATAATTATACCAATTATGTACCAGGTAAACTAATGTCAGGACAGCTGATGATCCTGCAAGGCCACCGAATCGTGAGACACTTATTTCATCGAACACATTGAAAAGACGCAGACATGCGTCTCTGAATTAATGGTCATACTATGACTCATTTAGTCTTCTTACTTGTTCCAAATTGCTGTCTACTTCTAGGTTTCCAAATAATGCGTCTGTGATCGGATGCTCCAATAGATGGCAACACATCCAGTTCTTTGTAGAATTTGTGCATATCTGTGATAATAAAGTTTGGCTTTTTAACAAATTGTTTTAGTAATCACTGGCGTGTAACTGATCGAATATTAAAGCCATTCCTTTTCGGGTTAAAATCACCGGCTACAATCACTGCTGTACCATGGCTCTCCGACTTATAGTATCATAACAATAACAGAGGTAATCATAGAAGCTGGTCGTAGTTTCTCGATTGATTAATGGAGGTAAATAAACGCAGGCGACTGCAATTCTAGAAATACATGTGCATGGGAAGCCAAATTGGCCGTAGGGCGATCCAAAGACACCCATATTCACACCGCAAAATTCAAAATCCTTAGCAATAAAAAATTTACTTGAAATAAGAAATCTAGTAAATTCTTACTTAAAAAGAATGCCAATTTACTTAATACAGGAATAGATTTCCTTATCAAGAATAGTTCTTCGATAGACAATTACTAGAAATAAGAAATCGAGCAATCTTTTTCTTGGTAAGAATAGCTATCTGTTTACTTAAAACAAGAAAAAATTACTAATCAAGGTAAATACTAAATTCAATGGACGACTTGCGCTTAGACTAATTTCTTACATTGACAATAAAAAGGACATTTTCTGAAAGAATTTACTAAAATTAGTAAAACTGCAAGTTTGGCTGGGAGTTGTTGTAAATTACGGAAAATACAGCCATGCAAAGTTGACGATTTTTGTATACTTTTGTACTATGGCTGGAAGTTTGTAACTAATTTAGTTACACATTTCCGCACGTGTAATACAAAAGTATACAAAATGTGCCAACTTCACATGGATATATTTTCCGTATTTTACAAAATTTTGGAGCCAAACTTTGTATTTGCACTAATTTATGTAAGATCTTTCCAGCTGTGGTGATTTATTTCCTTCTAGTCACTTCCATCAAAAATTAGTTTAAAGCGAAATTCGTCCATTATTACTTGAAGTAGGAAATCGAGTATTTAATTTCTTGATAAGAATATGTGTTTTATTAACACAAGAAAAAAATTCTTATCAAGACATAAGTACTATAATTTTATTCAATTACTAAGAATACTTCAAGTAAGAAATTCAAGAAATTTCGTCTACACAAAAACCAAAATATATCTCAAACAAAGAGATGCCTCAAAGAACTAAAACAAGCCTTGATGGCATAATGCATGTCAATTGTTATGTAAAGGATTAGTGTCCTTTACATACTCATGCATAATGTCATTAATGTCATATCTAACAGCGATGATACTGTTCCCATAATTGTCCTGTTTAATATGAAAAACATTGTAGTCCAGAAGACTATCAGAAGCTACAAGGTGTAGAGCATCAGGAACGATCTGTCGCACTTGATATGCCTGGCATACATGATCCAGACCATCAATTTCTAGTAACAATGTTTCAAAATAAATGTAGGAACCGATTATCCAAATCTTGTGCAGTCCCCAAATACAGGGAGGGGAGATCACCGCTGACACAAACAGCGAGAACAGCTGATTTCATGTACGTGGTTCCATGCAATACTACAGAATTTGCCTTGTAAGCACTTAAATACGAACTGCAATACGAACCCTGGCAGCAGCCCAAACTCTTGAAATATTTCCCGCACTTGCAAGTTTCTCCCCTCTTACTTCTTCGAGGCGAACACATTGCTTTTCAGTAGCAAAAAAATGGATGGAAACTGGGACTCTCGTTTGCATCATCAAAATGACAGCACTCTAAAAACTGATGCCTTTTGGCTAACGATAAAGGCAGGTTTTTAAAGCTTTGATTTTTCGCCAATTCTTTGAAATACCTGTGCGCTGACTCGAAGGTGAAACATGATGAGCAGATCATTGGACCAAGAGATCTTATCATTCAGGGAATGTGCATCAAATAATGTTGTTGATGGAATGATGCTCTTTCCTTGGAACAACACTTTGAACCTCAATAGATGGTCATCTTTATGAGCTGCTCTAAACGTCGTAGAGTCAAGTGCATACTAAAAATAAGATTACACTGACAAAATAAATCTACAGACAAAGGCCCCTCTATACATCCCTGTCCACGAGGTTTCCTGAGGCTATTAATGGCGTCCTCTAAAATAAGACAAATTCAGGGGGTACATAATCTTTTGCAACACTAATACAATTGCCGAGAGGTTAAGCAGGAAAATTTTCAACAAGGTGAAAAATCTCCTTTAGGATTTTGACGCTGTCTGATGGGATATTGATCGAACAATAAACGAATATAGCATTGTATTAACCTGCGTAATTTGAATTATCTCCTCTAGGAAAGAATAATATTCACTGGTAGAGTCTATAAATGAACCAAGGATGAAAAGCAAGATGCGCAGGAATAATTTGCGCATGCGCAGCGGCTACCCACAAAGATCGAAGAGAATGAAAAGAGTATTTTGAAAAGAAAGATGCTACGAAGGTTCACCTCGAAAATCTTAATAAGTGGAAAGCGGTGAGAAAGGAGAACCACTCAGAAACTGAGGAGCATGAGTTGCCGAGATGCTGCTTGATTTGTACGGAAAAGTGTCAGCTAAGAAAAAATGGTAAGATATTAGGATATACTATATTGGTCTCAAAATACTCTTGATTTAACAGTTTTTCAGCCTGGAATCGGCATATATTTTAGCCACGATGAAACTCAGACAACATGCACATCCGAAAAG